AAGTTCTTCACAGACTTATATTCTTTTTCCAATATCCAATTTTCTAGGAGCAATTCAAACGCCATCAACACAATGGACCATGCATATCATGTCTCGTTTCGTGTATAACTTTATCAAAGTGGGTTGCATTACACTAATAGATTTGATGAATGTTACTATGAGATATGACTAGAGTGTTTGCCAAATGGATTAAAATTGTAATTATAATATCTAACAGCCAGTTGTATGTACAGCCTTGCAGTTACTCTTTTGCTAATACTAATAGTAGTATTTTATTTTTGTAATTAAATACAGGAATTTCAACACTACCCACTTTGCTGCTACTAAGCGGCAGTGACACGCTTAGGAGCCATCCAGAGGTGTTCAAGGGCTGGGCTTAGGCTTGTCCGAAACAGGCTGGACTCTCGGAAATGGTCCTTCTGTCCGGATGAGCTGGAATGTGGGGCCAGGAGAAAACTCCAAGGGATACTGTTTGCCTGGGTTGGTTCCCCTTGGAAAGAGAAAGCTCTGGAGCCTTGAGGTGTCTTGTTATTCTTTGTGTTAATAACATGCTGGCAGAGCTAAGCACCAGTGGACGCCGGAGGAATTCCCACAGAGTATCAGGTCCACTACCCCACATCAGATGCCCAGAGAGAGCGTTTCTGCGTCTCAACATTTTTGACTCAAATCTCATCCAAAACCTGCCTTCCTCTCCCAATCTCCGCTATTTGTTCTTCCCACAGACGCATTCAACCTGCCCCCTCCCCTCATCTGGGTGCTCGGACAAAGCTCTCAACTAACACTTCAGGCCTATTGAAGAGATACATACAATGATTAAGGGGATCACCAGTCCATCTTCTCCTTTTGGGGCTCCAGCATATCTTAAGAAATAGCCCCTCAGACAGACTGCACCAATGTAAGGAGAGGCGAAGCTTGTAGAGATGCTTAACTTTCCCAGAGAATCAAATAGAAACAATAAACTTTCCCAGAGAGCCAAGGAGACCTGTCTAAAATAGCCTGGTATGTAATATGGCAAAATGATATTAAACCTGGTCCACAAACCACAAGACGCACTTTTGTTCTGATCCACCAGGGCAATTCTCATTTGTCTCCTGAGGAATGAAGGTTTATGGTGTTCAGTGATGTGTCTCCATTCTTTTTTGTTTTCCTTCTGACATGTTCCTGTCATTCTCTGTTCCCTTGAGGAGAAGTCTCTCTCCATAGCCAAGTGAACAAAGCCATTTTTCCACAGTCAGAGGTGACCCAAGGGAAGGGGAAAGAGACTGAAGAGGAGAAGCCAGAAGGACCTGGAACTGGAAAGAGAGCAATGAACGACCCCCTTCTCCTCCAAGCTGGGTGTGGTGTTGAATTTTGGGAAAGATCTGTCCCAAAGATCCTGGCTAAGCACACCATGACATCAGATGTACACTGTAAACACTTCTGGCAGTTCCGCTACTATGAGGCTGATGGGCCCCGAGTGGTTTGCAGCCAGCTCCATGGACTTTGCCGCCAGTGGCTGAAACCAGAGAGGCACACTAAGAAGGAGATGCTGGACCTGGTGATCCTGGAGCAGTTCCTGGCCGTCCTAGCTCTGGAGATGGAGAGCTGGGTCAGAGGATGCGAGCCAGAGACCAGTTCCCAAGCAGTGGCCCTGGCCGAAGGCTTCCTCCTCAGCCAGGCAGAGGATAAGAGGCAGGAAGAACAGGTGAGGGAATTTCCTCCAGATATGTTCCATTCAAGGAACAAAATCTGGCCTTATTCTAACATTTCCCTGACAGATACCCCCACCCTGTTATCAGCTTGGATAGTGAGTAATGGTCACTATCCACTGAATGCATGTAGAGTGAAATAAAGATGATTTCAGTCTCTTAAGTGGCTGTGCATTTGATCACACCTAGAAGGCACTCAGCTCAGCTTGGCTAAGCACTGGACAGGATAATTTCCAAAATGTGTGAAGCTGGGATAAGAGACAAGAATTATCTCTTCATATTGAATATATACACCTCATAGCAGAATCAAATCGAGGCAAGTAGAAAATATGTAGCAAAGCTTAGGAGCAGAAATATTTATTGGAACTGTACAAACAATGCAGTATTAGAACGTTTGGTTAAAAAGATGTTTAAAGTAGGTAGAAGTTTGAAGAAACGAATGGAGTGCTGGAGTCCAGTAAGGTAAGCATACACCCCTTCACCCTTCAAACGAATAACAGTGAAACCAATAGAAAAACCAATTAATGAATTATGTTGTCGAAGGCTTTCATGGCCGGAGTTCATTGGCTGTTGTAGATTTTCCCGGTTGTGTGGCCCTGGTCTTGGCATTGTAGGACCTGACGTTTCGCCAGTAGCTGTGACCGGCATCCTCAGAGGTATAACACAGACGGATGGAGTACTCTCCGTGTCAAGAGAGTACACAGAGAAATTGACACAGAGAGTACTCCGTCTTTCTGTGTTACACCTCTGAGGATGCCAGTCACAGCTACCAGCGAAATGTCAGGTCCTACAAAGCCAAGACCACGGCCACACAATCCGAAAAATCTACAACAGCTAATTAATGAATTATTAACTGATCAGCTTATAGGTAAAATTGTAGTTAAAATTGTAACTGATTAGTCTGTACCCCCCCCCCACAATCACCCCAGTGAATACCGATATTGATTGCAAGGTACTATGAAAGAATCAACTGAAATAGATGAACAGTCAAACAATTGATTAACCTACATGCAATAAAAACTAAAGGATTTGATTAATAATGAAGAAGTGACCTTAGAGACCAAAACTGGGAAAACAAAGCTTACCCTGCGACTCTAACTGTTGGGAGTCCACGGGCAAGCTTCCAGAAGAAGTCTCTTAACGGTGGGAGCAAAAAGTCCAAATTCCCTTTCCCTCCCTCCTCCCTGGAACTGCATGGTGGAAACAACATGTATTAAGGAAGGCAGTCATATTAAAAGTACGCTAGTAAACAAGAAGGGTATGGTTGAACCTGTACAACAATGAAAAGGAGATGATATCAGTTTTGCTGCAATATTACGGATAGAGATCTTTTTGGTCTTCTCCGGGGATGCTGGGAACTGTAGTTTTCTCTTCTGGGACTGACGGCTTTCCTCCGATTCATCTGAAATCCATAGCATATAGAGGAAATCAAGTCCGGTGTCCTCATCTGCGTCTTGGAGAATGCTACCTTGACGAGGAACCTGAAACTTCCCCAAAGAAAGCAATTTGTAGTGTATGTTGGCCACTTGCAGTCTTCTTGTGATAGGCTTCATAACGTTTCTAATATGCAGGGTTTACTTTGGGACATCGGGGAAGACCAGAATTTGCAAGTCTTGGAATAAAAGAGGACCTTTCATTTTTGCTTTATCTTGTATTCAATTTTTAGATCTCCAATCTGTAAATTGCACTGTAAGATCCCTTGGGCCCTTGCGTCTTGGATTTATAGAGGGACCCAACCGGTATGCTTTACAGGTCACCAGCGCTACTCCTGGTTCGAGTTGTAAAATAGAGGAGAATCACTTAGAGACTAAACACATCAGATCTGCATCACCTGTTCTCAGATCCCTCTCTCCAATTTTTCGAGTAAGTTTGGTAAGTCTTGCTTGTTGATCACCATCTCCAGAAGGTGCAAAATGGAATTCTTCTCCATCATTGTGGTCTTTTTGGTGCCAAGCACCTTTGGGTCCACTCAAGATTCTCATAGATTGAAAAATCCCTCAGCTGGCTGGGAAGACGATTTCAGTCTTCCCACCATTATCTTTGCCGATATTTCAGGAAGAAAATGGCAGATTTTGGTTTGTTAGAGGGCCTGGGAGAAGGAAGGGAAGGGGAGCTGAAGGATCAAATGACCACCATATTACCCAGTGTCACTATGCCCCTCGTTGCCTACATTCATAACTGAAGGAAATGCTGAAATAAAGATGTAATTTTCTCCCCATCCAAGTTCACGGACACCCTGAAATCTATCCACAGTTATCTGCTATCCTTTACTTGTCTACTTCATCACAGGATTTGGAAAACAGATATGCTTTTTGCCTGTTTTGCAGATGTCAGAAAGAATTAGCTTGGCAGACTGCCTGAAGGAGGGCAACCACTATAAAGGCCCTTCTTTGCATAAGTATTTTAGGAGCATTTCTGAGCCTCCAACACCTGAATATTTAAGAAATAAGATAAAAACTCTTGTCACAAACTATGCAGATACGTGGTTTCTCATTGTGTGGGTTCTTTGATGCTGTTGAAGATAGACAGACTAACTGAATCTTTTCCCACACTCTGAACACTCAAACAGTTTCTCCCTTGTGTAAGTTCTTAAATGCTTGTAAAGATGGTTGCTCTGACCGAATTTCTTTTAACAGTATCCGCATTGAAATGCTTTCTCCCCTGTGTGAGTTCTTAAATGACTGGGAAGAGTGTCGCTCTGACTGAATCTCTTCCCACACTCTAACCATTCAGGATTCTCTCTTGTGTAAATTCATAGCTGCTTTTGAAGACCACAGCTTTGAACAGATTTCTTCTCACACTCTTTGCTTTCAAAAGATTTTTCCTTGGTGTGGGTTCTTACATGCTATTGAAAGCTGATGCTGCAGTTGAATGCCTTTTCATACTCTGAATATTCAAGAGTTTCTCCTCTGTATGACTTCTCAAATGCTTTAGATGATTGTCAATCCAACTGAATCTCTTTTCATGCTCTGAGCACTCAAAAGGTTTCTCCCTTGTGTGAGTTCTTAAATGCCTGTGAAGATGGCCCCTCTGACTGAACTTCATTCCACATTCTGAGCATTCAATAGGTTTTTTCTGTTTGGGTTCTGAAATGCTTGTGAAGATGGCCACTCCAACTGAATCTCTTTCCACATTCTGAGCATTCAAAATGTTTCTCCTCTGTGTGGGTCCTTTGATGCAGTAGGAAATCACCAATCATACTTAATCACTTTTCATGCTCTGAGTACTCAAAAGGTTTCTCCCTTGTGTGACTTCTTAAAATGCATGTGAAGATGGCTGCTCTGATTGAATCTCTTTGCACACCCTGAGCACTCAAAAGATTTGTCCCAGGTGAGTTCTTAAATGCCTCTGAAGATGGCTTCTGTGACTGAATTTCTTTTCACAGTACAAACATTCAAAAGGTTTCTCCCCTGTGTGAGTTCTGAAATGCTTGTGAAGAAGGGCACTGCAAATGAATTGCTTTCCACATTCTGAGCATTCAAAATCTTTCTCCCCTGTGTGGGTTCTTTGATGCAGTAGGAGATCACCACTCACACTGTATCTCTTTCCACACTGTGAGCACTCAAAAGGTTTCTCCCCTGTGTGAGTTCTGAAATGCTTGTGAAGAAGGGCACTGCAAATGAATTGCTTTCCACATTCTGAGCATTCAAAATCTTTCTCCCCTGTGTGGGTTCTTTGATGCAGTAGGAGATCACCACTCACACTGTATCTCTTTCCACACTGTGAGCACTCAAAAGGTTTCTCCCCTGTGTGATTTCTTAAATGCCTGTGAAGAGTGCTTCTCTGAGTGAATCTCTTTCCACACTCTGAACATTCAAAAGGTTTCTCCCCTGTGTGGAATCTTTGGTGCACAAGGAGCTGTGATCTGTATTTATAGTACCTTCCACACTGAAGGCATTTACATGACTTCATTATAATGTTCTTTGGGAAATGTAGATTTCCCTGTCTTCCATCAGACAATGTCATTCCACTCTCTGAACAGATAAATGGCTTCTCTTCTGAATGAATGTTTTGGTGTTTAATAAGGTCTGATTTCTCTAAGAAACTCTCACCACTGTCTGAGAAAGTATAATGTTTTCCTCCTGCATGTGCCTGTTGATGTTTAAGGAGCTCTGCTCTGCAAAGGAAGCTCTTTCCACACTCCAGGCCTTGATGCGAATTCTTTCCGCTCTGCATTTGCAAATGGACATTATACTGGGCTTCATCTGAGAAGATCATTTCACACTCCAAGCACTTGTACATTTCCTCCACCACGTGAATTGCTTCATGGAAATCCCCTGCTTGGAAAGGAAGGTGTTGATCCTTCTTCTCATCAATGTGGCTTCCTTTCTGCCTCTTGGGTCTGCCTTGAGTCCTGAAGTTTCCTCTCAAGTCTTCATTCTTGACTTCATCTGACAACACATGATGCAGTTCCTCATCCTCCTCATTACCCCGATCATCGCCTGTTGATAATAAGTCTTCATTCTTGACTTCATCTGACAACAGATGATGCAGTTCCTCATCCTCCTCATTTCCTCCATCATCCCCTGTTGGTAATAAAGAGAGAGATCCCGTTAGGACCCACCAAAGGAGGTCTGATTTGCACTTGAAATTCCATCCACGCGCAAAGTGTTTCAAGGCCTTGTTCCTGCTGTACATTGAAATATACAATAATAAACATGTTTAAAGTGTCTTCCCGCCTGCCTGTGTGGTCCATCTCCATCTCTGAAGTTTCCTTCAGCCGCTTCATTCATGGCTTTTTCCAAAGAGAACCCCTGGAATTCCCCAAGTGTCTTCTCTACATCTGCTGCTGGAATACAGAAAGCGGTCCAATCAGCACCTATGCAAGTAACCTAGCCACCATTCAAGCACTCCTCATTCACAAGTGTTCATTTTTTTGACAGAAGTAGTAGGGCAGGCTCTGTTGAAAGTGTGTGGGTAAGGATAGAGCGAGGGGAAAAAGAAGGGGATATTGTTGTGGGGGTATACTACAGACCTCCGAACCAACTGGAGGAACTGGATGATGTATTTGTACAACAGCTTGCTAAACTTTCACAGAGACAGGATGTTGTGGTTACGGGAGATTTCAACTATCCAGCTATTTGCTGGAAATCTAACTCTGCTAGACATGGGGCATCCTGCAGATTCTTGAATAGTCTTGCGGACAACTTAATATCTCAGAAGGTGGAGGTGGGAACTAGAGGATCTGCTATCCTAGATTTAATCCTGACTAACAGGGAAGAACTGGTTGATGAAGTGAACGTTGTGGGATCCTTCGGGAATAGTGACCGTGTCAGCTTGGAATTTGACATAGAGAAGGATGTGAAACCAGGACATAGTAGGACTCGTATCCTGGACTTCAGGAAAGCTGATTTAAAAAAAACACTCAGAGAAATATTAGGTAGGATCCCGTGGCCGGAAATGCTGAGGGGGAAATCTGCACAGGAAGGATGGGTGATGCTGAAAAATGAAGTACTTAAGGCACAATCTCAAACTGTTCCGGTAAGAAAGAAAGGTGGGAGACAGGTAATGAAGCCAAGGTGGCTGAACAAGGAACTCTCTAAAGAGCTGAGACTAAAAAGGGAAATGTACAGGAAATGGAAGGAGGGTCAGATTACTGGGGGTGAGTACAAGAAGCAGGCTCGAATCTGTAGGGATGGTGTCAGAAAGGCTAAAGTGCAGATGCAGCTGAGGCTTCTGAGGGATGCTAAAAATAACAAGAAAGGTTTCTATGCCTATGTTCAGAGCAAAAAGAAGAACTGGGATGGGGTAAGCTCATTGCTAGGGGAAGACGGTCAAGCCTTAACAAGGGATGAAGACAAAGCGGAATTACTCAACTGTCACTTTGCATCAGTCTTTAACCATAAGGCGAGCTGTATACAAACTGAAGAATGCAGGGCATGTGAAGGAAGGAGGAACTGCCAGTCCAGAGTAAATAAGGAAATGGTTAGAGAGCATCTAGCTGCCTTAAATAATTTCAAATCTCCTGGGCCGGATGTCTTGCATCCC